CTACTATGTTTTATTGACTCTAAGACAGCATCGATCTTAAGATGTACCATTATTTTGTGAATCAATAAGTTAAAAAAAAAACTACTGAAAATAAACCACCTACCATTAATCACAGGATGCAGGTCAATTGTAGAGATATTAAAATGTGAAACACAAGTCTTAGCAACGACATACGGTATGTCAGACAGTGGGCTGGGCACGTAGAGTTATCTCTAACCTTGCAACAAACGTATTATCGTATTATTGTGACCGTTTCACAGATGAGAAAAAGGAGGCTTAGTGTGGTCCTATGGCAAAACCATTTGCCAAGAATGTTTTCATTAATCAAGAAGGAAAGTTGGCGGGGCGTCTGGGTGGCTCAGTCCTTAAGCGTCTACCTTCAGCTCAGGTCATGATCCCAGGGTCTGGGATCGAGCCCTGCATCAGGCTCCCTGCTCGGCAGGAGGCCTGCTTCTCCCTCTCCCACTCCCCCACTTGTGTTCCTGCTCTCACTAACTCTCTCTCTGTCAAATAAATAAATAAAATCTTAAAAAAAAAAAAAAAAAAAAAGGAAAGTTGGAAGTTTCTAAGATCAGATCTCATCATTATCCCAACATAAATAAGGACAACTGAGGCTGTGTTATTCCCGTGACCCACTAGCACCTTCCTGGGACACCAGGAGCTTGTTTGCAAACCTGAAACGTAGAGGAATTGAGGACAGGTGCCACCAGCAGCAGAGCCTGAAGCTGGATGTGTGACTCAACACAGGACATCTCACTTGGGCCTGTCAACTTAGATGGATCTTTGCTCAAGGTGTAAGGTGACAGCATGTCCCAGTTTACCAGGGAGAGCCCTAGTTCATGCCTGTGCCCTAGTTTTTCTTCTAATTTAGCATTTGTTCCAGGGGAAAAAAAAAAAAAGTACTCTGGGTCCCATGCTAAGGTTGTATGCTCTGCACACAACTAAAGTGTGTCTCCTGCAAGAACAAAGTTCCTTTTTGGGCAGCCAACATGATCGTGTGGTTGCCTTGGCTGTAGGGAACTCAATGCTGATTAACTTTAGCAAAGAAGCAATTTGGGGGGAAGGAAGCAACTTACAGAGTGGAAGGTAAAATAGAATCAGGCCTCGGAAAGAGGTACGAGGGCAAGTGCCTAGCTCCCGGAAGCAGAAGGTAACAGATGGTCTGGAAGTTCAGTTTACCGCCCTATTGAGGGCTGTTGAGGGCCAGATTCAGAGTCAGAGTCCCAGGCTAAAGCCTCTGATTGGCCTAATTGGGTCTTGTGCCCGCCCCCTTAGAGCTTTGATTGACTGTTCGTCTTAGACCACAGGCAAGAGTGTTTCCCAAAGGAAAAATCAGTATTGGAACCAGAAAATGGGGGAAATGATTCTGGGAAGGCAAAAACAACAGGTTCTCACCCAGACAGAGTATTCCCTTTGGGGAGGAAGAGGAAAAGGGCCCTGAAGTTTAGAAGGGAGTGTTAAAGGAAACTTTTCAGATAGTTTTGTTGCAAGCCTATGTCAAAATTGTATTACAATCTTGCTGCAAGTGTGGATCCTCTGGGAGGCTAATTCAAAGATTCATATTTAGTAGGAAAATTTTCAAAAAATTGACTTTTTAATACAGTACCATCTCTATAGAGTAAATTGCACAATCTTCAGTGTACAACTTGATGAACTTTTGAACATTTTCAGCACCCAGAAAGCTCCCTTGGGTCTCCCCAGGCAATATACCCCCACCCACCCCACCCCACTTGGGACAAGGTGACCACTTTTTGGCTTCTATCCTAGTAGACACAGTCTATAGGACAAGGATGATTAAATTAAAAAGAAAAGAATGTTCAGTACAAGTTTACTATGCTCTTGACTGACAGATGACCATCAAAAGAGGGGGTAGAAAACTAGCTTCGAAGTATAAATCTCAATGCTATTAAATTTCATAAGAAGAAGCTTAAGCATTTTATGAGAAATGTTCTCATTTCCAGAAAGAGATTCGTGCAGAAAGGTTTGGTCTCAGTCCAGGTTTGGGATGATTTTCCTTTTACAGAAGCAAGGGAGTGAAGAATGGAGGGGATCCAGGACTGAGCCCCCATGCCCATCCTCACTGCCTGCAGCTGAGGGCTTATGCTATAGAGACAACCAGCCTTCACCTGACAGTCCCTAGATTGGGGGTGGGGGACAAATGGGCGGTGTTTGATCTGTGGTGCTTCCTCCCTCCACCTGCCCCATTAACCAGGGGCAGAGAAGTAGGCACACCAAGGGATGGTCAGGATTTCAGCCCTTCCCTGCGGGTCCAGGAGTTCTGATGCAACATTCTGCTTCTCCTGCTTATCGGTTTCACATCTGATTGTCACAGACAGCTGTGTAAGGGGGCTGCAAGACTGCAAGAAACTCCCAAAGGGAGGCCCTGGGCTCTCCCTTCCAGAATCAGCCTGCATCTGTGTGGGCTCCCTGTTAAGTACCCCATTCAGTACGTACGTATTAGTAGGGACAGACCTAAATTGCTCCAGAATGTTCTGTCAGAAATACCGCTAGCTTCATTTAGAGCCCCTACCATACAAGGTGGGAGGGTGGGGGGCGGTTATTTCTTACAACGGACAGCTACCAGGAAGCACAAGCTTGAGCGGAACAGGGGCATTTATTGCAATGATAAAAGGATGTCTACAAGAATGTGAATCCCACTGGGTCCTAGGAAGGGTCTTGAGCAGGGAGCCAGAAAACCTTCAGGATTTCTCTACGACTCGGTTCTTCTCATCGTATCATTCTTTTTCCCCCCATGCACTGGCTTCCTCTACTTCTCCAATCTCTTTCACAAAACATGGCCACCCCAAATCTCCCTTTCTCCCTTGTTCCAGTCAGTCTTAGACACTAACACTTTAACACTTGAAAACAATCAAATTACCAAATCAGGAAATCACCTGTCTCAGTTCAGATTCTCAAAAGAGAAGCTGATTGGTCTGACCTGAGTCTACCTACCATAGAGCCCCCTGGCCATGGTGTGGCATGTCGGTGGAGGTGGATGGGGGGCACACCGCAGAGGTGACTGCCAGGGATCCACTCTCTGGGCTGGTCAGGCAGTTCTTAGAAAAGCGAGATTAGGCAGATATTCCAGCAATTATCCTTCACCACGGGGATATTCCCTTTTGGAAAACCCAGCACACAACTCACAAAGTCCCTCCTGGTACTAAAGCACTGTGACTAGATGAATGCTTCTATTCATCTTAAGAATGATTCCTCATTTAGCTTTGAATGCCCCACCATGGCTAGCCTGTGTCCTCAATAGATGGCTGCTTCTATATTTCTGAAGAATTCCTTTAAAAGCACAAACTCTCCTGATGCAATGAAATCTTTGCATATCAATATTTATGTTAAAGGTAGATGGAAAAAAAACTGAGTTGAGGAATTGAAGGCAAGGAGAAATATGGGTGAAATGTTAGGGTGTGTGCCAATTAGATATTAACCAGAAACTTAGATATAACAATATAATATAAACAACCTAAATGTTTGTATTCACATCATGGAATAAAATCTATATGCATTGGTAATAGACCTCAGAATGTTGGTATAGAAGAACAAGTTTCAGAATGATCTTGGCACAATAATATTTATGAGAATAGAAAACATACAGAAGACCATTCTATATATTGTTCATGAGAATATATGTATATACACACACACACAAATATCTGTATCTATAGGTATAAATATATAGATATGAAAGTATAAAAAATGGATTGAATACACATCAAATCATAATAATAGTTATAGCCAAGGGAGGATGTTTGGGAAGGAGGTTTTATTTTTAATTTGTAATGGTCTAGTATATTTTTATTTAAAAAAAATTTTAATGATCTAGTATATTTTTAAATGGATTTTTAAAAGTACAGCATATTCATATCATTAACTTTTAATGAAAAGGATGTACATACGAAAAGAATTGGAAGTGAAATACCACAGTACTAGGTGGTGGGAATGTGGGTGATTATTTTTTCTTTGTACTTTTTCTGTATTTTTAAATATCTATTTCCATCAACATGGATAGATATTTTAAAAGCATATTTGGGTGAAAAAACAGTTGCAGATCAAGAGTAATAGTATGATAATATTTATGTAAAAAGCCATACACAATAAAAACAAAATATCAATTCTCTATGGGTATCTATGTATCCATATGAATATATCCAAAAATATCCACATAAATTCACAGCAAAAAATCTAGAAAAATAGATACTAAGCTGATGATAATGGTTACCTCTGTGGATGGGATTTAGAGTCAAAGTTAAAAGAGCATTTGTACCTTATCTGCAAAGTTTTAATATCTTGCAATAATTCACTTATTATTTGAGTAACTAAAAATTAAAACACGTAACTTTTCAGAGAAAACTGCTTACACCAGCTCCCCCGGGTTTGGTCTTCGGAGGCCCTGGGGCGAATTGCTGCGGGAATCCATCATTTCTCCGGAGATACGTGGCTCTTCCTGGGGTCTCCGGGTGAAACAGCCGACTCTAAACACGGATTCTTAAGCTGCTTTTCGCTCTAAAACCTATTTGGAACAAATCTGGGTGTAATTACTGGAGCAAAGATTTTCTTTTAAATACATGACATGTTCAAAATAAGTCCATCAAAATCAAATAAAACATAAGAAACAGTGAAATTTGCTCGGCGGAGTATTAAGCAGCTTCCCGGAAGAGCTATTTACTAACTTGGTAGCGTGGCCGAGCGGTCTAAGGCGCTGGATTAAGGCTCCAGTCTCTTCGGGGGCGTGGGTTCGAATCCCACCGCTGCCAGAGCCTTTTGTTCTTCTTCTTTTTTCCCTACCGCCCCGGCACCAGGCTCTGTTTTCTGCTCTTTTGCCGGGTCATCAGCGCCTCCTGCTGCCCAACCCGGCAGGCGGCCGGTATGAATGGAGCGGCGGAGGGGGCGGGTCTGCGCGCGCCGGGGCGGGGCATTGTGGGTAAAAGGAAGCGTGAGGCCCGGCCCGCTCCCCCCACGTGTCCGCTGGAGTTTCTCCACCAGCAACATGGCCGCTGCCTAAGAGAAGAGCCGGGCCGCCGCCGCCTCTGCAGCCCGCGGGTACCTGGGCGGTTGCCGCCGCCCGCGCGCGGCCCCCGCGGAGAGGTGAGTGCCGAGCAGGCAGCGCACGCCCGGGCTGGAGCCGGGCCGCACTCGCGAGGTGGGCCTGGGCTGGGCTGCCGAGTAGGCCGGGAGGCCCGCGCCGCGCCGAACCCAGGGGCTGGGGGCCTCCCGGGACTCGGGCGGGAAGGATTGGGGAGCCGGCCCCCGTAGACCCGGGCCGGCCGCGGGCTCCGACCTCGGCCGGGCCTGGGAGTCGGGGATGCGGCGGCCGAGGCTGCCGGCGGTGACTCAGGGTCCAGCCACCGTGCTCCGCCCGGCCCAGGCGGGCCTCCCGCGGGAGCACCTGTCCGAAGGCACCCGGTGCCCCGCCAGCGCGGCAGCTAGTGGCGACGGCTGTGTGGTGGGCGTGGGAAGGGGGCCTGACCACCCGCGAGGGAGGCGAAACCCATTGGACAGTGTGGCCCGGGGCCGGCGGCCCGCCCCGCTGGGCAGGGGGAGGGTCCCCAGGCCGGCCCCGGCCCTCTCCTCGCCCGGAACCGGAGCAGTCTCCGCCCGGCCAGGCCCGGCATTCTTCATTCAGCTCTTCAGGCCTCCATTCAGCGTTCACTGAGAGCCGGCACCGTGCCGCGGAGACGGCCCTGACCGTGGGGCTGGAGGAGGTGTCAGTAAGCACGTCAAGTAAACCCGAACATGAACAAGGTCGTTCCGTTATGTCAGCTTTAGAATCGGTGGGCGATGGAGCAGGTCTTAGCAGTCGCCAGCGTTTCTTCATCTGTGAAATGGGGATAATAAAATCAACTGCCTCATAGGGTTGTGGTGAGGGCTAAATAGGGTAAGACGCGAGAAGCCCCAGCTCGCGGGGTTTGATTTGTGGCGGCCTTGTGCCCTCCGACGTTGGAAGAAAACATGTTGCCGAGTAATAACAAAGCTCCCCGGAGGTTACATTTATTACCTTATTTAATCCTCACCGCAGCCCTCGGGAGTTTGGTACTTTTATTCCCATTTTAGCGATGAAAATAGTGAGACCTTCCAAGATGGAAGGATCCCAGGTGGGCCATATATGGTAGGTAGTTGAGGTGGGATTTGAACCGGTGTCGTTCTGCTTTGAGAGTCCAGGCTCTTCCCCACTATCCCATACTGCCTTTTATTGAAGAGGTGTGCAGCATAGTGGTTAAGAATACGGATCGTTGACATCAGCCAGACCCGGGTTTCCGCTCTTGTCTCCGCTGTTCTCCAGCACTGTGACCTTGGGCAAAATTACCTACTCTCTGATTCTTAGTTTCCTCGTTTCTTAATTGGGAATGATGAATCTTGACTTACAGGACTATTGAGAAGATGAGAACGTGTGTGAAGTCCTTGGAGAAGGGTCTGATGACCAGTTAAGGATTAATTAGTTCTTTTTTTCCAGGATGACTCTTTAACAGAGGTGGAAGCTGAGGTGACCCAGAGCGGGGAGATGGCTTGCCAGAGACAAACACAGGCGGTTAGAATCCAGGCCTGGAGACTGTTTGCCCTTGGGGCCCTCTCCTCTTAACTGCGTTGTTCTTTGTTTTCTCCCTCCAGTAGCTAGAGAGACTTTGGAGTTGCCTCTGCATTTCTGATTGGCCGACAAGTTAGATTCCTAGGTGCACAGGGATGCACCCAGGTGTGGCATTCAGGTATTTCGTTTGCTCTGAACCCCTCCTTTGCTCTACCTGGTGTCCTTGTCTCCTTTCCATTTGTTGGCAGCTCCCTGCTGGGGGGATCTTCGTGTGCTCAAGGCCACGGAGCCACTGCCATAGAGTACCATTATGGCCACAGGACACCCAAGGTGGTCACAGGTGGTCACTGCAGTTGGGGAAGCTTGGCTTGTGGCTGGGAGGGCTGCTCCTGCCCGGGCCACAGTCCATGTCTGTTCTCAAGTGTCCGTAAGGCCCAAACCATGAGTCCACCAGTGTCTGGATGGGGCTGAGTTAGGCTCACAGGGTGAAGGGTCTATTACCGCCTGATTTCATGTGTTCATTTATTTAATTGTTCTTTTTACTGTATTGAGTGTTCACTTCATGCCAGGTATTGGGAGAACAGCATGGATTTTAAAAAGAGATAATAGTCCTTATAACAACTTGATGAAGTAAGTGTGATCATCTCCACTTTATGGTTGAGGTAACTCAGAGGCCGCCTTGGAGCTTACATTCTAGTACAGAAGGCAGACAACACAAACGCAAGTAGACTAGGTGGTTCCAGATTGTGATAAGAACCATGAAGGAAAGAAAACAGGGAGAGCTGGTGGTGACTGTGAGCTGGTTGGCTCTTTCAGATTGGGTGGCCAGGGAACTTCTCTCCCCTCCTGGAGGGGTTGGGGGGGTGATATCTACTGAAAAGGAGCCAGCTTTGAAAAGACGTGGGAAAAGTAGATGACATGCAAAGGTCCTGAGACAGGCTGGGGCCTAGCCTCTTGGAGGCCCAGCAGGTGGCTATCTGGCCATGTAGATGGTGAGGGAAAGGCAGGGGCAGGATCACATAGGGCCTTGAGGCCATGGAAGGGAGTTTGGATTTTATTCTATGTGGCAGGTGAAGCGTTTTGAGCAGGAGAATGATGTGATTGACTCTTTTGCAAGGACAGCTCTGGCTGTTTCTGGGAGGACTGGAGATAGAAAAGAGGGACCTCAGGGAGACCTGTTGGAGTAGTACTTTTCAATCACAGATGAAGGTTTATTAGTGAGTGGCGCCTGGCTGGCTCAGTCGGTGGAGCATGCAGCTCTTGATCTCGGGGGGATGAGTTCGAGCCCCACATTCAGCATAGAGATTACTTAAAAAAATACCTTTTATTAGTGAGATGTGAAATCACTTTGGAGGATTGTAACCAGCATGTTAATTTTAATGAGTGAGGGTAGAAAACCTCACTGCTTCACATCTAATAGGGGCAGTTAAGCTTGTGTGAAACCTTGGTTTAGTTCCATAATTGTGTGTATGTACTGGGTTGTTTCTGTGGAGTGGATTTCTTACTATAGGTCTTAGGCTGAAAACTTGGAAAGCCACCGAGTTGGATGATGCTGGCGGGGAGGATGAGGGGAAGTGAGAGCCCTGCTTTACCCTAGTCGCGTGTACCATCTGGAGGGAGGAGCCACAGCTCCAGGTACCTCATCCTCCCCGAGCTCCTCAGTGACTGGGGGAGGGGTTGGCAGAGCCCACCAAGAGCTGAGAAGGCCAGTTTCTCAGGAATGATTGCGTCTGGGGAAGCTCCCAGGCCACACCTCTTTGTACATATGACCTGTTCCCTGACTCGCATGCAAGTCCCCAGTGTCTCGGTTGTCCACGGAGCCGGCTAGAGAGGAGCTAGGTGCTCGCCGTGCACCTGTGACCCCTGGCGGTCAGTGCAGACGGGGTGAGCCCGGGGGCTCTGCCATCCATCCCCCTCTCTCTGGGCAGAAGCACGCACCTCAGACTGTCAGTTTAGGGCTTCTGGTTTTCATCCAGTCTTCAAGCCCTAACCGCTGGGGCAGCTGGCTTCCCTCTGGTTTGCCTTCTTCCTCCACATCTTCCTCCAACTCAGAAATCTTTGGTAGCTCTCTGTTAAATAGCCTCCTGTGGTCCCATTTCTTCTGTGGTCCCATGTATGGAGTACCTGCTGCGGGCTCGGGGGTACAGCAAGGGACAAAACGGACCAGAATCTCTGCCTTCGTGTAGCTTACTGCTTAGTGGCAGTGGGGATGGGGACAAAATGATAACAGAGCTGTGGTGGTGCGTGCTTTGGGGACAACCAGAGCCGGGAAGGGAGCTGGGGGAGGGTGTTGCAATTTTGGATAGAGTAGGCAGGGCAGGTCTTAGTGATGAGGTGACATTTGAACAAAAACCTGGAAGAGGTGAGGGAGGGAGCCATGAGGCTCTTGGGGTAGAGCAGTTACCAAGGCCCAAGGTGGGGGGAGAGGAAGGAAGGGGGCCTGTGGGAGATGAGGTTTGAGAGGCAAAGGGGTGGTGGCGGCATAAAGACTTGAGCTTCTGTCCTGAGTGGGATGGGAGGCCCTTGAAGGCAGAGGCGTGGCAAGCCCTGATGTGGCTTCCAGAAGGATCACTGGCGCTGGCCGTGGGGTTGGGCGAAGATCGGAGGGCCGTTGCTGTCGTGCAGGCAGGCAGTGGGGCTGGCTGGACGAGGGGGGTGGCAGTGGGGGGGGCCAGATCCCAGACCTGCCTTCAGGGTGGAACTGACAGGAGTTGCTGGTGTGAGGTGAGGGGGGCAGAGGCATCAGGGATGAGGCCAGCACCGGGGCTGAGCAGTCAGAGTTTGGAACATGTATCTGGAACGCATGAAAGGACTTCGGGTGGTACAGCTCAGGCAGAGGGCTTAGATGACCTTGAATCCCACCCATGGTGAAGGTATTACGCCCTTCTAAATATTTAATTACTTGGATGTTAAGTAGATGAGACCAAAATCATGACGGTCTTACCCAGAACTAGAGGCCTGGGGGCTGCTGGGATTCTGAAGGTACCCACATGACCATCCCCTTCCTGTGGGAATATGAAGAGTCAGCCCAGCAGACTGACTGCCCCTCGGCCATGGAGACCTGTGGCCTTCTGCCCTCCAGGCTTGAGGTGTTGCCAGTCACCTGGGGTCCCTCCTGCTGTCTGTGGTGTCATGGCTTGTCCAAATCCTTCTCTCCTTCAGGGCCCAGCCCAGATGCACCCCCTCCTCCCGGCAGGAAGGCCCTTCCCTTCCCTCTGAGCTTCCTGACCTGTAGCTGTTACCTGAAGTCAGATGGCCTGGCTGGCCTGGTTTTGAAGCCTGGTGCATCATCTGGCCTGTTCTGTGGCTCTGGCTAGCGCATGCACGGCGTCCCCGAGTTCCAGTCGCCCTTCGATAATGGGGAGAGTCAGGCCACCTTGCAGGGTTGGTGTGTTGAATACATTAAAGTCTGTGAAGAAGGTCATTTTGTGTCGCACGCACCAAACAGGAAAATCCTCTCACACGAGGTCGGGCTTAAAGTCTGCTTGGAAGTCAAGTACCAGAGACAGAGCCCCCCCAGACAGCCTTGGGACTGCTGGCTCTTTCTGCTGGACGTCAGACTCTTCCCTAACGCTTCCCTGTGGCCCCCAGTCAGCGCTCGAATATTTGCATCATGGCTGTGGACCAGCCAGCCTCCATCCCCCTGCCTGGCAGTGACCTCTTTTCTGTGCATGGTCGCAAAACCCTTAAAGCTGGTCATTTATTCTTTCCCACGGGTGCAGCCGACATGTGCCGCCTCGGGTCCACCTGTTTGTACCCTCTGTTTGGTGGTTTTCCCCTCTTGTTTGGTTCTGGCCACTGGGGTCTAGAATTGGCCGTCTGTTGACTCCAGGGAAGATGTAGAAAGAAGGTCACTTGCTGTTTGTCTCAGGCTCTCCCCTCTCAGAGCAGGCCCGTTGCAGCAGAGGCACCCAGGGGTGTCGGCGGAATGGCTGGCTGACGTTTCAGGCCTCTTGCTGTCCCTTGCAGATTGAGTCTGAGGATCGTGCGGCTGGCTCCCCCCTAGTATGGCCAATGAAGAGGATGACCCAGTCGTACAGGAGGTAACCGCTGCTCCCTACCATCTGCCGGGGCTGCCGGGGAGGAGAGCCCAGGCCCAGGGCAGCAGGAAGCAGGGCTGAGGCCCTTCCATCTATCCTTGGGCCAGCCTGGAACCTGCTGGCATCCCAGGGACCCCTAACCAGGCTGTTCCCTCTGCCTGGAACCCTCTTCCTCCAGATAACTGCCTAGCTGAGCCCTTCACTTCCTCCCAGTCTCTGATCCAGCATTTCCTTGTCAAAGAGGATTCCCTGACCCCCCCTGCCTCGTGTGGCGCTCTCCTGTTCACCCTCCCTGGCACCCCCAAGCCCCTTACCTTGGCCACGCCCTGTGCTTGGTCATAACCCTCCCCATCCCCTAAACATAATCTCCTTTCACTAGAATGTAAACTTCACGAGGGAGGGATTTTGTTCTTCACCACTGTGTCCACAAAGCCAAGTTCAGTGCCTGTCACTTAGTAGATACTCAGTGACTATTTGTTGAATGAATGAATGGGTGTGACAACTCCCCCTTCTTCCTGGGCCTACCCAGAAGTCATTCAGCAGTTGTTCACTGGATCTACTGTGTGCCGGGGGCTATGACAGCAGTGAGCGAGCAAGGCAGTGTCCCGCCCTCGGGACACTTAGGATCTGACAAAGAAGGAGACCCAAGATGCAGATGGTGGGGAGGTAGGTTCCAGAGTCAGCCCAGATCCAGACACATCCTAGAGCCTCTGGGCCTTTGCACATGCTGCTCCCTCCACCTAGACTGCCCTTCACACAGGCTTCGCCTGCGCTGATGCCCTTCACTCCTCCCTAAGGCCTGGTGGTGGGAGAGAACATGGTTCATATGAAGAGCCGGGAAGCAGGGAGGTAAACTGCTGCACGGTGGGTCAGGGGTGGTTAGTGTTGAGAAGAAAGAGTTGGGCCAGATCGTTCTTAGAGGGGCTTGCAGACCACCTGAAGGTGGTGTGACAGGTCAGTCCAGGGTAGGTGGTGGAGGGCACAGGGAGGAAGGGCAGGCAAATGGGTAAGCTCTCCTCTGTCCCAGCCTCATCAGGAAAGCATTTAATCGGGCTCTGGGATGCATCCTGATGTGAGCAGCCCCGGGGAAGGCACATTTTATTGGGTTGTAGTGGACCTAGGAGGGGGCCAGGAACTCTTGTCCTGGTCCCCCTGAGAGCCATAGAGAGGGAGGCTGGAGACTCGGTTCCCTCTGTTTCTAGCAGGAGCTGAGCTCTTCCCCCTCCCCCGCACTCCCTGTAGGAGCCACGACCCCTGACTGACATCCAGGGAGCAGGGGCAGGCCAGGGCAGGCCAGCCACCTGTCTGTCTCCTGTTTAAGTCTTCTTCCCTTTTTCCCAGATCGACGTGTACTTGGCCAAAAGTCTGGCAGAGAAGCTCTATCTGTTTCAGGTAATGATGAGACCAGAGGGCAAAGGGGCCACCTTGAGCATGGGGGTGGGGGGTGAGGGGCGCTGGGAAACCTCAGCCTCGCTTAGGGTTCTGGGCACCAGAGTGTGGGACAGGGGGTTTCTCTTTGCTCTTGTGGGTGGGCAGGTTAATAGTCTCTCATTTTGAAGATGGGAAAACCAAGGCAGCCGTGAAAGGCAGAACAGTGTTGTGGTTCTGGGGCTCTGGGGACTGGCAGCCGTGTTGAGGCCCAGCTCCATCATGACTTAGCTGTGAGCCCTGGGCAAGGTCCTTGAGCTCTCTGTGCCTCTGTTTCCTCATTTGCAAAATGGTGGCACTTATACTACCTGCCCTGTAGCGCCCCGTGGGGGTTGGATGAATCCATCCAGAGTGCTCAGAACGTGGCCCGGCCCAGAGCTCAGCTCCACAGTCTGTTTTCGGACAGTTTGGTCCCATGTCCCCCATTGCTGCCTGCATCCCGAGGCAGCTGTTAACCTGTTTTCTCACTGTATGGATTTGCCTCTTCTGGACATTTCGTGGACACGAAATCATGGCATAGCTGGCTGCTTTTAACTCGACATCGTGGTTTCGAGGCTCACTCGTGGTCAGCATGTATCAGTACCTCCTTCCGTTTTATGGATGAAGAGGACTCCATGGTGTGGTTCTATACAGCACATTGTGTTTGTGCGTTGCTGGCTCTTTGGGTCAGTTCCACTTTGGGGCTATTATGAACAGTGCGGCCGTAAGCATCCCACACAAGTTTTTGTGTGGACAGGTGTCCTTTCTCTTGGGCACATCCCTGGGAGCGGAATTGCTGGATCCAATGGAAACACTAGGTTTCATGTTTAAAGGAACGGGCAGATGGTTTGCATTTCCAATAACAAGGTTATAGTTGTAAGTATTTTGTCTCCAGGTTGCATATGAGAAAGTGAGGCGCAGGGAGGCTAGCCACTTGGGCACGGGGCCCAGGACGGGGCAGCAGTGGGGGTACTCCAAATGTGAGCTGGGAAGAGGCCCTGGCATCCCCCTGCCCTCTGCCCCCGGGGTCTGCCTTTACAGGCTGTGGGGCTGGGGGCCTGTCCTTCAGGCCTTCTGAACTGGTTTCCTCGGCTGCCTGCAAAATGGTGGGGAGCTGGTGGTGGGGACGGTGACCCCATATGTGTTCATGGTGGGCCAGGCCCTGCGGTGTCTGCTCTCTTTGCCTCACTCCCCGCCCCCAGCAGCCCCGTGAGGTGAGGACACGCACGTTTGTGGTGAGGAGCTGGCCCAGGTCCACACACTGCAAGAGGCAAAGTTGGGACCGGAACCCAGGCCTGATTCCAGAACCTTGCCCTTTACCACCAGCCATCCCAGCCCGAGATCAGGAGATGGCAGAGCTGCCAGGGCTCAGGCCAGACCAGTCAGGCTCCAGACTGTTCATCCTACTGCTGCCATAAGCTCTGGCCCAGGAAGCGAGGAGGAGTCGCTGTGTTGCTACCTGAGTGAGCTTTTAGGAAGTCACCGCTGCCTCGAGCTGAAACGTAGCAGATCTGAGAGGGCCGCACACAGAGGGTTCAGTGCACACGCTGCCACGCCTCCAGCAGCTTCTCCCAGAGGCTGTCATGGTACGGGCAGCGCCGGCCACAGCTTCTCAACTTCACGCATGGTGACACTGAGGCCCAGAAGGGACTGAGTGGGTCAGTGGCAGTTTTTATTACGGAAAAGTTTACAGGGCAGCGGAGAGAGAATGGGGTAATGAATTCCCGTACACCCGTCCTCCACCCACAGCATGTCACCGGTCAGGTCTTCATCTGTGCTGCCCGTGGTCTTGTGTCCCTTGTCCTCTGCCTGGATGTCCTCTGCCTGATCCTCACTCTTGCCTCCCCGGCAGGACTTGTGGGTTACCAGAGGGGGGCCTGTGTGGGTTCCTGATGCTTAGGCTTGTCCCTCGGAGGTCAGAGACCCTTGAAAATTGCCTTTTGGAAGGAAGCTGGGTGGAGCCGGTATGAAGGCGACACAGGCGGGGACCAGCGAGGACCTCTGGTCTCTGCTTGGTGTTGATTCTTGGCTGGAGCCTGTGAGCCCATCTCTGGGCTGGGCTGGGCCGGGCTGGGCAGGGTGGACTGACGGCTCCCTTCCCCTCCCCAGTACCCTGTGCGTCCAGCCTCGATGACCTATGACGACATTCCACACCTCTCAGCCAAGATCAAGCCCAAGCAGCAGAAGGTGGGGCTGCCCTCTGATGGAGGTGGAGGAGGGGAGGGCTGGTACAGGTGGGGGCTGATGCAAGTGAAGAGGAGACGGGCCCTTTGGGGACTAGAAGCCCAGAGAAGGAGCGATTGGAGGGTTGAGAGGAGAACCAGTTGCTTGCAGAGCCTGGAAAGCTGAGGAAGGGAAGTTTCCAGAAAGAAAGGGAATAAAGCAGCTCCAGAGAGGCCAGAGGAGAATAAGGCTCGGGATGAGTTCAAGACTGGGAATGGGGGGCTCATGTTCACAGGATAAGGCAGGCACTGACGTGCAGCAGCTCTGATGGGCTCGAAGTGCCTCGAAGGGATGGGGTGATAGGGGCTGGGAGCGCTGGACACGTGTCTTGTCCAGGGGGTGGCTGTAGCTCCAGCCCCCCATTGCCCCCCATTGCCACTTGCAGTGACTTTTCAAGAGAAGTTGGAAATGAGGATTTTTATGAGAAAATCTCTTGAATTTTAAATGTTGGCACCTAATTTAGATTTTGGAGGGTAGAATGGGGAGGACAAATAGAACTACATGACCCCACCCCGCCAAAACACTCTGGCCTTTCTGTTGGAATTGGGCTTTGTGACCTTTAATGTGGACTGAACCCCGGGGGCCCTTAGGGAGGGGTGTTCTGAGCCTGCTTCTGAGCAGGGCTGGGATTGGCAGGGACAGGGGTCAGGACTTGGCTGTGGCCAGGTTGGGGATATCTTTGAGTTCCTCATAGCTGCTGGGCGTGCCTGATGCCTGCAGGTAGAGCTTGAGATGGCCATCGACACCCTGAACCCCAACTATTGCCGCAGCAAAGGGGAGCAGATCGCACTCAACGTGGACGGCGCCTGCGCGGACGAGAGCAGCACTTACTCCTCGTGAGTCCCCTGGGCCCAGCCTGCAGGCTTTGGTGCGCTCCAGTAAGAGCCTTCCAAAGGCCTGTCTGACACCCGGGCCCTGGTGCCCCATTGCTGGGCTCCCTCCCAACATCCCAGCTTCACATGCTTGGGCCTGGCGCAGCCCTGCCCTGTGGCAAATGTCTTCCCTTCTGAGAGGCCCCTTGATGGGAGTGGGGGCTTGACCCACCACCTGTCCTTGGGCTACAAACAGGGACTTGGGTTTTCTCCTCCCCGACTTCCCTCCTGAGGCCCACATATGCTGAGGTGGGGCCTTGATCCCTGTTCCTGGGTATTGAATTTCAGGAGGTGTCTGGGGTGGGGGGGCCGGTGCCTGCCATGCCCTGGGTCTGGAGCTTCCTTCCCCTTGACGTCTGTTCTCCCTGTGCTCCCAGGAAGCTGATGGACAAGCAGACGTTCTGTTCCTCCCAGAGCACCAGCAACACAGCCCGTTACGCTGCCGCGCTCTACAGACAAGGTATCCGTGCTGGGCAGCCAGGCTGCCGTGGCTCCTGGAGGCTGCTTGGGTGCGAGGGAAGCGGGAGGGAGGCTGGGACGGCGGGAGGCTGTCCCTAGCCTGGTACCCAGCTTGCTGCTCCCCGAATGCCGGATGCCTGTAGGGGCCAGGCAGGTTGTAGAAATGGCATTGTCAGGGGGCTGGAATAGGCCACCTCTAAGGACTTCCGGCTTTGGTGCTGTCTGACCTGATAGAGGGGGTGCTTCCAAGGTCCCTGTCTCCTCCTGGGACACAGACATACACACAGTGTAACTTTTGAGACAGGTGGGAGGATTTTGTTTTAAATACAAGGTACTTGCGGGGCTCCTGGTGGCTCATTCAGTGGAGCATCCGACTCTTGATTTCGGCTCAGGTCATGATCTCAGGGTCGTGGGATCAAGCCCCATGTCAGGTTCGGCGAGGTTCTGTGCTTAGTGTGGAGCCTGCTTCGGATTCTCTCCCTCTGCCCCTCCTCCCACTCACTTGCTCGCGCTCCCTCTCCCTCCCTCCCTCTCAAAAAAAAAAAATACAAGGTACTTACGCATGAGCAATTTTACTTAGCATCTCCCCAAGAGAAGTGAAGCGTCTATCCACACAAAACTTGTACATGGATGTTCATAGCAGCATTATTCACAGTAGTGAAGAAGTAGAAACAGCCCATAAGTCTGTCAGCTGACGCCTAGATAGCCAAGTGCACTAGGCCATGCAGTGGAATGTTATTTGGCCACAGGAAGGAATGAAGTACTGATACACCCTCTAGTGGGCATGATGCTCAGCAGGCCACATGTTGTCGGAGTCCATTTAAATGAAGTGTCCCGAAGAGGCAAATCCGTAGAGACAGAAAGCGGGTAGTAGTTCCCCATGGCTAGGAGGAATGTGGAATGGGGAGTGACTGAGGATGGGTTCAGGGTTTCTTTCTGGGGAGATCAAAATGTTCTTTGGGGGGCGGGGGGCAGAGGGAGAGAGAATCTCAAGCAGGCTTCACGCCCAGTGCAGAGCCCGTCAAGGGTCTCGATCTCACGACCCTGAGATCATGACCTGAGCCGAAATCTATAGTCGGACACTTAACCAACTGAACCACCCAGACACCCCTGAAAATGTTCTTAAATTGATTGTAGTGTTGGTTGTACAGCTCCAGGAATATATTAAAATACATTGACTAGTATGCTTTAAATTTTGTATGGCACGGGAGTTATATTTCAATAAAGCCATTAAAAAGTAAGTATTTAGAGTTCATAAAGCAATAAGTAAAACTAATTTGAACACTTAGGAAACAAACTAGAAAAGACTCAAAAGTAGTATCAAATAACTGTACTTCTTTTTGGAACCCATGTCTCACGCCTTGCAGGTGGGACCGTTTGTTTCTTTCTTTGAGTTAATTAATTTTTATTATGGTAAAATGTACCTAACATGAAATTTACCATTTTAACCTTTTTTTTTTTTTTTTAAAGATTTATTTATTTTGGAGAGAGCACACTCCCAGGGGGCGGGTGGCAGGTAGGCAGAGGAAGAAGAGAATCTTAAATCTTAAATCTCCGCTGAGCACGGAGCCTGACAAGGCGCTCGCTCTCACGGCCCTGAGATCACGACCTGAACCGAAATCAGCTCGGACGCCTGCCTGACTGTGCCACCCAGGCGCCCCTCATTTTGACCATTTTTAAGTGTGCGGTTCGGTGACATTTGAGGGCATTCATGTGGGTGTGCAGTAGTCACCACCACCCGTCTCCAGAACTTGTGCCCACGTGGTCGTATTCTTCTGTAGCCAAACTTACCTGTCCTGTCTTTTTCCTTCTGAATCTCTGGTCTTGGTTTTTAGGATTCTTTCTCCCATCCTAGGTTGATACAAAGATTCTCCTCGTTTTTTTTTCTAGTATTTATAGTACTTTATATAAAAATTTTTTAACATTTCTGAAAATTATTCTTGTATGTAGGGTGGTAAAATGATTCTTTTTTTATTTTTTAAATTCCAGTATAACGAACAGACAGTGTTATATCAGTGTCGGGTGTACAACAGAGGGAGTCAGTGATTCTGTACCTGACTCCGTGCTCGGCACCATAAGTGTGAATCGCCATCTCCTAGTTCACCATTCCCCCCACCCACTCCCCTCTGGTGACCATCAGTGTGTTCTCTGTAGTTAAGAGTCTGTGGGTTCTGTGCTTTGTGTGTATGTTTTTGTTTTGTTTTAAGTAGGCTCCACGCCCACCCAGAGTGGGGCTCAGGCTCATAACCTAGATCGAGGGTCGCATGCTCTACCAACAGAGTCAGCCAGGAGCCCCGAATCTTTTTCTGTGTGTGTGCTTTTTTTTTTTTTAACCCTGTTCTTTTGTTTCTTAAATTCCACATATGAGTGAAATCATATGGTATTTGTAGGACCATTTGCTTCTTTACTCCTGACTGCGAGCATCCCGCTCCCTCTGGAGTCCAGAACGCTTTCACAGAGCCACTTACCAGAGCCTTAGTGTGTGATTTCTTCTCTTTCAAGCCCACACTGACTTGAGAGAAATTGATGGTCTTTGCACTGCCTCCCAGTGCACACGTTTCACTCACGAGGCAAAGTCACGATCCTCGTCCAGGACTGTGTAGACAGTCCTCCAGCTGGCCCCGCCAGGGGCCATTCCTCCAGCCACATTTGTGCGGCCGACTTCTGAGCGGATTGGGTGGGGTTTTGACGAGCCGAGCTGGAGGAGGAGAGGCAGTCTGTGTGGGGAGGGGGCGGTGGGCATCAAGGGTGCCTGGCAAAGGCCCGGCGGGGAAGAGAGGCCGTGTTTGGAGCGGAAACGTTGCCGTGTGCCAGAGCAAGCAGCTGGGGGAAGGGGGCGGCGACCAGGGTCGGAAAGGCCTTCGATGCTCACGGGGGAGGGTGTGCAGGCAGGCTTCAAGAAGTGGCTTTGAGCAGAAGGGTCTGGGTTCGTGTCCTACTGTAGCTGTGTGCTCACTGGGCCAGGTGGGGTTGGGAAGGGCCGCGGGCCGGGTGGTGCCAAGGCCCTGAGACTGGGGGCTAGAGCGGAGGTGGCAGGTGGCTTGGCTGTAGGCCGAGGCCTTTGGGGGAGTGCAGGGCCCTTTGTGACTACTGTGAGCCAAGCTGGGTGCGTTGGCCCCAGTTCCCAGAGTCAGGTCCAAAGCCTTCTTCCTCTGCCAGGTGAGCTGCACCTGACGCCTCTTCATGGCATCCTGCAGCTGCGGCCCAGCTTCTCCTACCTGGATAAGGCGGACGCCAAGCACCGGGAGAGGGAGGCGGCCAATGAGGGTGAGCTCTGGACCCCTAGCCCTTCTGTCTGTCTGCATCTTGGCAGGGATGGTGGGTCATGGGAAAAACTGCAGGGGGATGGATTCCAGGACGCTTAGCAGCATCCCTGCTCTACCCACTGGATGCCGGGAGCACTCACCTGCACAGTTTTGACAACCAAACGTGGCTTTCTACATTCCCAAGTGTCCCCTCGTGGGCAAAATTGCCCCCGGTTGAGAAGAGCTGACTTGGCCAACGATCCCTGTCTAGGAGAATTCCCAGATATCCCTGCCTGAGGCCTTCTGGGGAGTTGGGGCTCCACCAGAGGCTGCAAGCAGTGTCCGCTTTCTCTTGCAGCAGGAGACTCTTCTCAGGATGAGGCGGAAGAAGACGTGAAGCAGATCACGGTGAGTGAACTCTGGCCCCGAGGAGAGGGAGGGTGCCGCCTGGGCGGGGGGCAGCGGGCCGGCTTTGTAGCTCAGCTGCCTGGACGCAGCTCGGGGTGGGAGGGGCTGTGCAGAACCCAGGCTCTGGGGGTGAAACAGATACCGAAATGGTCCCATCCTTCAGAGCCTTCCTGCTGGGCAGCCTGGAGGAGTAACCTGTCCTGCGCCCACCCTGACCTGTCCCAGCTGTTCACAGGATAGCAGCCTGGGGCTTCTGTAGCGTGGGGACCCTGGGGCTTGGCTGGAACTGGAATTGCCTGGGAGGAGGAAACTGGGGGCCTAGGAGGTCCAGGGAACTCGCACAGTCTGTGCCATGAAGCCCGTGTCCTAGTGGAACGAAAACCCCATGTGCCTTAACCACATCATTCACTGTTCCCGGTGGTGTGCAGACCCAGCAATTCTATCTGAATGCTAAGCCTGTATTCCAGACATGGTGAGAAGAATATTGACCTTCCATTTATGGCTTACCGAGTTTCCTCTGTGTAAGCATACGGAGGTTAAAAGGAGTATTTAAGGAAGAAAGCACAAATGGTGACACGGATGGCGTACGTATGTGGCTTAAGTTGTGAGCCTTTGCACGTCCTTGAAGATGGGCCGCTACCGACATGACCGCTGTGCGGTGGGGGGTGCTCACCCTCTTCTCTCAGTAACTTCTTTTTTTTTTTTTTTTTTTTTTTATAAGAGAAACCTTGGATTGGGTGAGGAGTTTTTATTTTTTTATTTTTTTATTATTTTTTTAAATGTTTTATTTATTTATTTATGAGAGTCAGAGAGACAGAGAGGCAGAGGCAGAGGGAGAAGCAGGCTTCCCGCGGAGCAGGGAGCCCGATGTGGGACTCGATCCCAGGACCCTGGGATCATGACCTGAGCCGAAGGCAGACGCTTAACCATCTGAGCCACCCAGGTGCCCTCTCAGTAGCTTCTTGAATGATCACCCTCCTGCCCTCCTCGGGAACTCAACTGGCCCTCATTTAACAAGTTATCCTTAGGCCCGTGAACTTAAAGGACACATAAAGAATCCCAGGATTCTGTGGTACCTGGCTGGCTCAGTCAGTAGAATATGCAACTCTTAATCTCAGGGTTGTGATTTCAAGGCCCATGTTGGGCGTGGAGCCTACTTTAAAAAAAAAGAAAAAAAGAATCCTAGGGTTCTGTAATCCAGCCAACGCCCCCGTGGGGGTGTGCCCTTCATAGGGGAGGTGTCAGGGCTCGGTTCCATCAGGACGCTAAGCAGCAGAAACCCGGACCTACCTGGCATGAGCTCAAAATGGAATGTATTGGTCCCTGTTACTGAGAAGCTGAGGGGTAGCTTCAGGTATGGCTGGATTCAGGTGCTCAGACTCGGTCATCAAGACCTGGTTTCTCCATCTCCATCTCCAGGTTCCGCCTTCCTCTTTTGGCCTTTCTCAGGCAGGGTGTCTGTCCCCAGTGGTACAGAGTTATCCCCGCTCCAGGCTCACATCCTCCCAGCTTCCAAGACCCCAGGGGAAGAGAAACTTCTTTCTCATTACTTCTAACTAAAGTCCCAGACCGGACTCATTGGCTTGGCCAACCCTGAACCAGCCCCTGTGGCTAAGAGGATTTGGTGCTCGGATTGTCCAGGTCTGAGTCACGTGCCCACTCCTGTGGCTGCGAATGTGTGTGGGGGTGGGGGCAGGGGGAGGGCTATTTGCTCCCCTGAGCTGAGGGGGAACTGGGCATTTCCCCAAGGAAAATAGGGGGGCCTTTTAGCCGTGGAAGTGGAAATGGATTGGGTGCCGGGCAGGCAGAAGCACGAGAAAACTGCTCCCTGGCCTGTGTCGTCAGGTCACAGAGAGGGACGCGGTTGGAGCTGAATTTAAGAGATGTGTGTCTGGAAATGAAGGGGAGGGTGGGAGTGCTGCGGGGCTCTCCAGTCTTGTGGGGTGCAGTCTGGCAGCCCAGGATGGGGCCCGGGCCTGAGGCCATGACCCCCCTCCCAGGTGCGGTTCTCCCGTCCTGAGTCGGAGCAGGCCCGCCAGCGCCGCGTGCAGTCCTATGAGTTCCTGCAGAAGAAGCACGCCGAGGAGCCCTGGGTGCACCTGCACTACTATGGCCTGAGGGTGAGCCGGGGTCCCTGGTGGCGGCTGACGCTGGCTCCGGGCCGGGGTCCTGGGAGAAGAGCCCAGTCTCACCTTGAACTGGTGGTTTCAGATTCAGTGAGAGCCACTTGTGGGAGGGAGCCCCGGGTAGAGAGGGTAGAGTCCTGGGGATAGCTTGTCCCTTGTTCCAGCCAGTCTACTTAGCGTGAGTCCCAGGGGAGCAGGAGATTGAGAAAGGAGTCCACCGTTTCCTGGGTCGGGGTTTTCGGCATCCCCAGGCTCTCCTCAAGTGTGAGCTTCTTGCCGGCCCCAGGGTGAAGCTGGTGTTTGGTTACGGATTTTTATGCATCGTGGGTCCTGAATGAAAGCGCTCGATGGAGAACCGGCCATCTGTCACATGGCCAAGTCCGCGTATCTGCCAAGGGCACTTTTGACTATAGTTGGTTTTCATCTCGTGTGCTGACTTAGAACCCAATCCTTGAAACTGTATTGAGTAAGGGAAGCGATTGAATCGAAGCCAAAGGTGCCGTAGGGCTCCGCAACATTTTCCTGGGGGAGGAGCAACTCCTGATTTCTCTGGAACTTTCCTGAAAGATTCGTGTTGACTGAGCCTTAGAGTCAGACTTCCAGAAGCCATGCTGTTTTCTGGTGTGTGACTTTATGCAAATTACCTAATGAGAGAAGTTGCTGTCTATAAGCAGCCATCGCACCAGAGCCCGGCACATAGTAGGTGCTCGGGGACTGCTGGCTGTTATTTCTACCGTTGCGGCTAATGGCCCTGTGTCCCAGGCAGGGCACCTAGGCATGGGTGCTGGGGCTGTTCGGTCGTAGAGCTGGAGATGGTTGGTTGCGGCCACCTCACAGAGGCCTTGAATGCCATGCTCAGGTGGCTGGATATGACCCTGTGGCCGGCCTTGGGGCAGGACAGTGGGCGCCCGGAGGGAAAGGTGATGCAGGGGTGAAAACTGGACGGCAGAGGGGCTCGGGGCGGGGGGATGGCGCGGGCCTGGGGTGGTGGCTGAGGGTCCCCCCACCCTGCGTCTTCCCCAACAGGACAGCCGCTCTGAGCACGAGCGCCAGTACCTGCTGTGCCAGGGTTCCGGTGGGGTTGAGAACACTGAGCTCGTCAAGTCACCCAGGTGGGACCGGCGGGCCAGGCCGTTGAGCCCTGGGGGCTGCTGAGGCCACCACTGGCCCCAGGAGGGTCCCTGTGGTGTGGGGCCTTCCCGGGGACTGTGGCCCCTTCGCTAGCAGGGGACACGGACCTGGGAGAGGGCCCTTCGTCCTCTGGAGAGGGTCGGGAGGGTGCGTGTGGCAGGAGATGGCCGTCCTTTCTCCGCAAGTTTGGGGGGAGCTAGGGAGTGTGGGTGTGGGTCTCTATCTGCCCCCCAGCCCTCCCTTGGGGAGGCTCAGCCTAGGTGCAGTCTGGGTTTGTGGGCAGGGGTGGGGCAGGGCCAGAGTCCAGGAGCTGCTGACCCTGCCCTCTCCCCTGCAGTGAGTACCTCATGATGCTGATGCCACCCAGCCCAGAGGAGGAGAAGTGAGTAGAGTTGGGCCGGACGCCACCCCCACCCCAAATCCCCCCTCCTACCCTTGCTCTAACCCAGCGTCTCTGTTTTGAACAGAGACAAACCCGTGGCTCCCAGCAACGTCCTGTCCATGGCCCAGCTGCGTACCCTGCCCCTGGCTGATCAGATCAAGATCCTGATGAAGAATGGTGGGTGGACACACGCTTCCCCCAGGGGGACCCCAGCCCTACCACCTCCTTGGGAAACGGAGTGTGGGACAGACTAAGGACTGAGGGGCAAGGCCAGAGGCTCCCGCCACCTGGAGCCAGAACATGCCCAGCTTTACAGCTCTGGCCGCGTCTGGAAGGAACGCACTGCAGCAGTGGGGGGGGGGGGGGGGCGAGGGGGGCTCCCTCAGCCGGGCTTTGGTTCCTGCCGCTCCCCTGCTATTGAGCCTGGGCCAGCCGCTGACCCCCCTGTGCCTAAGGAACTAGGAGAGCTCCTGGGGGCTGAGATGAGGCTTCTTCACGGCTTATACAGAGCCTTGCATGTGAACACGAGCTCCATTCGTTCACTTGGACTATCTTGGGGGGCCCGCACCAGGCTGCACACAGTAGGGACTGGTCCCCTTTGTCAGAGGACTCGGAGGGCCAGAACCTGTAGGGCAGATGTGAGCTCTGAACCTCAGAGCTGAGTCCCAGGCCCCGGGCTCCTCTTCGGAGATACCACCTCCAGGGGCCTAAGCAGAGGGGAGCTCCCAGCTCTCCCTGGAGCTGCCAGGGTGCCGGGCCATTGGCCTTGCTTCAGAGGACATGGGGCCTACCCCAGGCCCTCTCTGGGCCCGGGTAGTAATGGTTTTGCTGTTTGTCTCCTCCCTTGCCCCCCCCCCCCAGTAGGCGCCACGCCTAACGTGGGGCTTGAACTCATGACCCTGAGATCAAGAGTTGCATGCTCTACCAACTGAGCAAGCCAGGCGTCCCGTACTAGTCTTACCTTTAAGGAGCACCCCTTGGGGTGTTTGCTGCAGGATTCAGTGAGTGTGGGTTGCCTGCACAAGCAGCCAGTGGGGTCGGCCGCCTTACTCACATACTGGGGTGGTTGTGTGAGCCTGAAGCTGTATAGACTTGGGGGGGGTTGCGGGGAAGGGCCCAGGCCCTCTTCCCTTGTCTGATGACTCCTGCATCCTCCTCAGTGAAGGTCATGCCTTTTGCCAACTTGATGAGCCTCCTGGGCCCCTCCATCGACTCTGTGGCTGTTCTGCGTGGCATCCAGAAGGTGGCGATGTTAGTCCAAGGAAACTGGGTCGTGAAGAGGTAAGTAAGTTCCTCTGCATGGGAGCATCTGATCCATTTAAATTCAACGTGATTACTGATGTTTTGGGTTTAAGTCTACCATAGCGCTGTCTGTTTGTTCTGGATTTCATATCCATTCTTACCTGCTACTGGATTCTTTTTTTATTATTCCGTTTCTTCCTGCTAATTTGGAAGTTATTCTTTCTGGGCTCTCTTAGTACCCTACAGATTTCAGGGTGCTTTCATAACTGATCACAGCTTAATATTAATTGCTGTGTTTTACCCTCATCCAGGACAATTCAAAGACCTTAGAATGTTTTATATTTATCTTCCTCCCAACTCATGTGCTGTTCTATTTATATGTTTTAGTTGTATTTTAAAACCCACAGGACATTATCATATCCAGTCAGTATTCTTCAGATCTGCTCACACATTTACTTTTTTATTTTGCTCATCATGCCTTTCTGCATCTGAGTTGCTGTCTGGGATAATTACCTTCTGCCAAAAACCGCTGGGGTGTTTCCTCTAATGAAGCTCTGCAGGGGAGGGGTTCCCGTGGGTTTTGTATGGTTGGAAATATCTATTCCACTTCTGTTGTTAAAGGATATTTTTCCTGAGTGTAGAATTTGAGATTGATTGTTTTCCTTCCACACACTGACAATGTCATTGCATTCTCATTCCCACTGTTTCTAGTGACGAGTCTACTGTCTTTATTCTTGGTTTCCTCTGGCTCTTTTTGAGCTTTTCTCTTGTGGCTTTCCACAGTTCATTAAGATGTGTCTGAGTGTGTTTCCTTTCACGTGTCCCGTGGGGTTCGGAGCATGTGGCTTGATGCCTTTCAGGAGTTTCTCTCTGTGATCCCTCCACCAGACTGTCACTGTCGGGGCGGGCAGGGACTTCTGTGTTGACCCTCCCTCACATCCCTGAAAGTCAGTATAATGCCTGGCACATCTTAGACCCTTGCTAATAAGTGAGGCTGCATTTTATGTTCACCTGGATTATGTTAATTTTAAATAGCGTAACATAAAATACACTAATAAAGACTTTTTAGGAAGTGTGGTGTAAGGTGAACGATCTGTCAAAATACGAATTGTTCCAAATTTTTTAAGTACTTCATTGCAGAAACTCCGTCTTGTCAGTTGGTTGGCCATCAATTGTGAAGGCTATTCACGTTGCTGCCACCTGGTGGCGCCCTTGCACCGGGAAACACACAAGTGCCCGATTACGGAAGGCCTTTGGATGGCGGTCACTCGCTAAATGGGACGGACCCCCTAGGTATATTCATGCTACGGATGAGCGAGGACAGAGAGGCAGAGACTTGGCAAACGTCTGGCAGCAAGGCAGCCCCGGAGCTGGGGTTTGAGCTCTTGCCCAGCACCACCCGTGGCCCTGGTGCTTCTGCCCTTCCAGCCTGGGGTCTGTCCCAGTGACCTGAAGGTGGGGCCTCCTGGGCCGCGCGTGTTCACTCTGCCCCAGTGCTTCGGGTCTGGCCGCGAGCCCTCGGGTCCTGCCAGTGGCCTGGGGGTGGTGCTCCTCCCTCGTCGGCCTCTTTGGGTTCATGTGAGGAGATGATGCAGCACTCACACCTTGTTCACTAAATCTGGCTCCATGGCACGTTCTGTGCCCCGTGCCCCGTGCCCCGCTGTCATTCACGTGCTGTCCCCGTCCTCGGGAAATGTGTGCAGCGGGGGTGGGCACCGTTACAGATGAGCACCCCGAGAGCAGAGGTCTGGGGCGCGCGCCACGCTCGTCACGCGCTTAGTACCGGCCGAGCAGCTCTCTTCCCTCGTGTGGCAGTGATGGTCCCTGTCCCCACAGTGTGTTTCTGGGAAGGGAGTGAACACAGAGCTCGAGCTGGAAGGAAGAGTATTAGCTGGTTGCCAGGTAGGATTGAGGAGGTGCAGAGAGAGGTCTCCCGGCAGAAGGAGTGGGTGCAGGAGAGTAGAGGCTCCTCGGGCACAGGATGGTCGGGGGGGGGGGTGGAGGGTGGTGTGTGTGTGTGTGTGTGTGTGTGTGTGTGTATATGTGCGCGCGCGCGAGAGACAGGGTCTGTGGCTGAACTTGGTCAAGGTTTTACTCGCAAGCCTCAGAAGCCGGCTCATCCGCCCCTGGGCCCTGAAGGTGTCTGAGCTGGACTGCTGGTCCCATTCACTCCAAAGGCTTCAGCCCCACTCGTGCCTTGGGGCCCATCCAGGTCCCAGTCCCTGACCCCTCTTGCCCCCGCTCACACTGCCCACCCGTCCCTTCCATCAGGTGGTGAGGCCTTGAGTCCTGCTTCCCAGCCGCTCTCCCTAGGCCTCACACCCGCCCCGCCTGTGGGACTCGCTGTCTTCCCAGAGTCGCGGGTTGGCCTGTTTCTGAGCCCCTGCCCTTCCTGACTGCAGTGGGCCTCGGGGCTGGGCCAGTGTGTGCATGGAAGGTCGTGACAGGCTGGGAGGAAGGATTCTTGGGGGATAGGCTTCTCTTCTACGTACGTGTTCACAGAGCCAGGCTCCGTGGTTGGAAGGGCGGCCCCGAGGGCAGCTGTGCCGGCCGTGTTGGAGAGGCTGGGGCTGGGAGTGGGGCTGACCTGCTGCTCCTGCTTTCGTTGGCAGTGACATCCTGTACCCCAAGGACTCCTCCAGCCCTCACAGTGGTGTGCCTGCCGAGGTGCTCTGCCGCGGTCGCGACTTTGTTGTAAGTGCCGGGGCTCTCTGGCCTCTGGTCGGTGGGGCAGGGATCTGGGAGGGGGTGGCGGGCAGGGCAGGGCAGTGGGAGGAGGGCAGGGGGTGGCTGTGGACCCTCTCTCTTTCTCCTTCGACTCAGAATCCTGGAGTCTTAGGCTTCATAATGGGGATTACAAGCCAGAGGCCCATAGGTGGACTCTAAGGAACATGTTTCATTTGGCCTGAGCAGGTTTTTTTAAATGTTCACTTGAATTAGTGTTTACGGTTCAAAATCCTGGTACAAACCAGATTTCTAGCTTGTTAACGAATAATTGGACAGTCTGGTACCACTGGGCCCAAACCCCTGAACGGCACCGACTTTGGGTGGTGGCTGACAGTGCCATCCCTCATGGTCCCAGGCTGGCCTGCTTCTCTCGTACATTATTGCTGTGGGTTTGGCAACTCCTGAGCCAGCTTATTCCTCCACGCCATTGCCCTGTCCTCATCCAGTAAGTCCCGGCCCAGGCATCCCTCTCAAGGGCTTGAACCCCGGCTGCTGGGATCTGCACTGCCTCCCTTGAGGGAAATCGGTCTCCTAAGCTGTCCACAGTGACCATGAAGTGCGCAGGGCAGCCCTTCAGCTGTTTGAGCGAGCGCCTGCGTTTTCTCCCTGCCTGAGTGGATGTCCCAGCTTCTCTGGACAGTTAGCGGCTAGGTGCCTCTGCACTTGATTTTTGTCTTGGGGCCAGAGTGCGGTGGATATCCGCCCCTGGGCTTGCTCACCGGAGCCCGTGTGCCGTTTGCCACCGCCTGCCAGCCCGTGTCGTTCATGCGGACGCTGTCAGCGGGGCCTGGGAGGGGGCGGCTGGTCCAAGCTCAGTTCTCGTCAGGGACGGTCTTCCCTCATCCCAGGCCCCCAGGACAGCTAGAGGTCTGGGGGATGGTCTTGGGAGCAGCCCGTCTTTGCATCCTAGAAACAGGCTGCCTTCTCTCCCTCAGATGTGGAAGTTCACGCAGAGCCGGTGGGTGGTGAGGAAAGAGGTGGCCGCTGTGACTAAAGTAAGTGCCGCTGTCGGTCGGAGGCCCGGGCCGTCCGGGTGGCTTCCAGGCTTTTGGGGCTCACCTTTGTCCTGCCCCCAGCTCTGCACGGAGGACGTGAAGGACTTCCTGGAGCACATGGCCGTGGTGAGGGTCAACAAAGGCTGGGAGTTCATACTGCCTTCCGATGGGGACTTCATCAAGAAACATCCAGATGTGGTCCAGCGGCAGCATATGCTGTGGACGGGCATCCAGGCCAAGTAAGGGCTTGCTGGCCAGGCCACAGCCACCTCGCCCCCCAGGCGCGCTGGGGCCCCGTGCACCCCTTCCTCCACTCTGGTGGGCGCTGCGGCTTGATCCCAGAACCTCCCAGCACAGGCCTGGCTCAGCCGACCCTGCTGATCAGAGCTGGCGTGTCTCTTCTGAGGGGCTGAGGGAGCAGGAGCCTGGGCTCCTGTGGGTCACCGCTGCCCGCCCCAGCCCGGCGGCTTCTGGTGGGCGTGGGGCCTGTGCGCGGTGGGGAGGGCCAGCCGGCTCCGTGCACGCGGCATCTCAGTCACCAGGATGTCCCTGCCTCGACGGTGACAGGGGACGTGCTGTAAAGTTAAGAGAGTTTATTCTTCTTTTCAGATTAGAAAAAGTGTATAATCTTGTGAAGGAAGGCTTGCCCAAGAAGCCAGATGGACAATCAGGTGTGCGGGGCGCTTTGGACTGGGCCGGCCCCTAACCCAGCCCTGGCTCCGGGAGGCCTGCTTTGCGGGGGCTTGTCAGGGCTCGGGCCGGAGGGGGCTGTGTGGCTCTCATCACTGGGTGTCCTTTCTGTGCCTTCCTCCCCCTTCCCCACAGACCTCAGCTTAAGGCTTGGCCTCGGGCACTGAGGGCTTCTGAACTCTGGGGCTGTGCTGGGGTGCAGGCCTTCCTGGGTCGGCAGAAGGTGGCGGTGGGACAGGAGGAACTGGCAGGGACTCAGCAGTAACCCGTCCTGGTTTGAATCTCCCAACGTGGGATTCTGATTTTCCCCACTTCTGTCTCTTTCCTCGTGGCGGGGGGAGCTCCATCCCTCCCGGGTCCGGTGGGGGTGAAAGGCAGGACCGCGGCGTGCTTCAGCCCTGGCTGGCCGGCGCTGTTCCCGGGCCCTTCCTCTGGGGAGCAGGGTGCCCCCCGTCGGGCTGGCGGGGGTTGTCGGGGGTGGGGGGGGCAAAGGGCCCTTCTCTGCGCTGTCCCTGAGCCCTCCAGAGCAGCGCTCCTCTCCCCACAGGGCCTGCTGCACTGCTCTCTGGGGACCAGCGGGTCCAGGCGGCCAAAAGCAAGGCCCAGCAGAACCACGCACTGCTGGAACGCGAGCTGCAGCGGAGGAAGGAGCAGATGCGGGCGGCCGCGGTCCTGCCCGGCGTGCGGATCAAGGAGGAGCCCATAAGTGAGGGAGAGGACGAGGAAGATCAAGACGCAGAGGAAGACGAGGAGCCCATGGACACCTCTCTCGGTGGCGGCCTCCACGACAGGCTGGCCAACGGGTTGCCTAGCGGGCGGGCGGCCGGCGGGGACAGCTTCAATGGGCACCCGCCGCCAGGCTGTGCCAGCACCCCCGTGGCCCGGGAACTGAGGGCCTTCGTGGAGGCCACCTTCCAGAGACAGTTCGTGCTCACGCTGAGTGAACTCAAGCGCCTCTTCAACCTGCACCTGGCCAGCCTGCCCCCCGGCCACACGCTGTTCAGCGGCATCTCGGACCGCATGCTGCAGGACACGGTGTTGGCCGCCGGCTGCAAGCAGATACTGGTGCCTGTAAGTAGAGCCGCGCCTCCGGACGGGCGTACCCGCGAGGCCACCCTCTGCCCCTCGGGGGGCTCCTGGCGGAAAAGCAACAAGCGGGGTCCCTCTGGAGTGGCCTGTGCCCCGCTTGCTTTGGGGGAACCAGTTGTTTGGAGGCTGCGTGGGAACTCGGGAGGAGTGTTGACCTTGGTCTGAATCTTGGCTCTCGGGGGGCGGCTGTGTGTGACCTTGGGCCTCTCGGGCTCTGCCTCCTCGTCTCACGTGGGCAGATGCTGGCTGTGGTCCCTAGGACTTGGGTAAGGGCCCCGGAGATGTCCGAAGGCGCTCACCTGTAGCTTGGCCTACGGCAGGGCCTTGGTCAGTGCAGGGCCCTGTCAGCCCTGCCGTTTCTCAGGCTGAGTTCGTTTCTGTCATCGATTGATCTTTGCGATGTGCAGGTGTAGAGACCGACCTTCAAAGACGTGAAATGAGCTTATGTAAAGGTATACCCAGGAGGTGCCAGAGCTGGAACCGGAGCCTCAGCATAGTGGCTGCGGGGCCTGAAATCTTTTCTGCGTTACCTGAGACGCGCTGCCCCTTTGACCCGAGCCCACGAGCCCACGGCTCGTGCCCGCCTCTGGCAGGCCTCCCCGGGGCTAGAGATTAGCCGACCGGCGTGCTCGGCATTTCTGCTGCGGGGCCTGAGGGTGGCAGCGCGAGCCACCCAAGCCCGGGCCTCTGGTCCCGGCATGGGCAGGGGCGCTGGAACGGAAGCCGCCCGCAGCAGCTGAGGGTGGAGAGGGCCAGGCTGGGGCTCCGGAAGTGGTGCTGCTCATTGTCCCCCCCCAGGCCCCGCCCAGACCTGGCAGCAAACAGGTCGGGGTGGGGCTGCGGCTGCCTCTTAAGGGAGCCTCAACGTTTGCAGTCCACGGTCAGAAGCACCTGCAGCCTTGGGTGGTCTGAGGCGAGGGCCATCTTTGTGTATGTGAGACACAGAAACTAGGACGAGAGGCCCTGGATCCCGTGCTGGCTAGGCTGTCCCAGGAGATCTGGCCCTCGTGGCAGAGAGCCTCCTTGGTGCGGTTTCCTATGAAAGGTACCGGGGCTTGGGGGCCCTGCCCTGTTTGTAGCCACCCGTGCCCGCCCAGCAAGTGGGTCTAGTTAGTCTAGTCAGCTCCAGGCTCCCCCTTCTGGGAGCTGGGCCAGGCAGGGGAGGGGGCGCCTGCCCAGGGTTAGCTAGGCCGTCTTGGGCTGCTGGGGTGGATGGGAGAGGGGTGTGAAGTAGGCTGCTCTCAGGCACCCTTGCCCTGCTCCTTCCCCTTGGTGGGGCTGGTGTCCCTGGGAGACCGTGGCCCCTCTCCGCTGCTCCCGTTGACTTCGCTCTCCCTGATCCTGATGTAGGGACCAGATAGAATGCTCTTCTCTGTGGAGGAAAAGACCTCCGATGTGTCCGGCCTCAGGGTGCTGAGGTCCAGGGAGAGTGAGTAGACTCACGGACTTGAGTTTAACCCTGGCTCTGCTGTGTATTAGATGTGCGACCCAGACACTGAGTAAACTCTGAGCTGGATTCTCCCCCTGCAGAATGGGAGGCTGCAGCACCTTGCCCCTGCCTCTCTGGTTTCTGATGATCAAATGAGATTGTATGGTTCTAGTCCCCCAGGGGCTTTATGTGGTAGGAGCTCCCACTGTTGCTGGTGTTGTGGGGTCAAGGCTGGAAACCGCTCTACCAGGTGCCCTGAGCCTGGCCCCCTTCTCTTGGTCCACCTTCGGACCCTGCTGAACCAAGTGGTGTGGGTTGCTTGGGAGTCGGGCAGGGCCTCTCACCTGTACCGACGCAGCCCCTGAGGGAAGGGGTTGGAAGGAATCCCCAGGATACTCCCAAGGCAGTATGGGGGTGGGAGTGCCGCTCAGGACACATCTGAGGGCTTATGTTTAGGGTAGGGCAATATTGGCTGTTGGAGGGGAGCTGATGCCAAGCTGTGAGGAGGAACAGAAAACAGATTTCCCTCCTTGTCCAGTGAATCGGGGGGCTTCGGGCTGGGCGGGTCCTGCTCCATCCCACTGAAGCCCTAGGGAGTGGCAGGAGCTGGAATTGGAACCCCTGGTCTCACATGGGCTCACTCCCTGAATGGGACTCATGCACACTGGGGGGGGGCGGGGGGGGCGGCAAGGTGGACCCGTGTGGCAAAGACCGACAACTCACACCCAGGCCTTGCTTAGTTTCCCCCCCAGACCGCTGCGTCCCCAGATGAGCAGAAGGTGTTCGCCCTCTGGGAGTCTGGAGACATGAGCGATCAGGTAAGGTGATCTCTTCTGCTGTCTCCCCAAGAGCAGGGAGGTGGGGTGAGGCCTTTAGGGAGACCCAGAGCACAGAATGTACGCTTCAGGTTTTCCAGCCACTCCCAATTTTAGATATTCTGGCTCCGTGTCTCTGTGTGTTGCTAAAACAAGCTGGATGGGCCCGTCCTTTGAGCCGAAACCAGTGGTTCCTGATTGTCAGTCTAGACGAGCTGCATTAGAATCCTCTTTAAAAATATATGTAGGCTCCTAGCACTGACGCCAGAGATTTAGTTCAGCTCTGTAGGAGCTAGGTGTTTCCATGTTTACAGATTTTTTTTTTTTTTTTTTAAGATTTTACTTGAGAGAGAGCGAGAGAGCACAAGCAGGGGGAGGGGCAGAGGCAGAGGGAGAAGCAGGCTCCCCGCTGAGCAGGGAGCCCAACGTAGGACTCGATCCCAGGACCCCGGGCAGATGCCTCACCAACTGAGCCACCTTCCAGAGGATTCTGCCATCCAGCCGGGCTCAGGAACCAGTGACGGTCCACATTTCTCAGGTGGCCTCTGGCAGTAAGAATTAAAAGGAGTTCTTACCAGATCTCGGGTGCTGGTTTCTAAGAGAAATTGGTCCATTTTGCCTCCTCTCACACCCAGGCAAGAAGGGTGCCGAGTGTCCCGTGAACAAAATAGCAGGAGTTAACAGCACCAGTGTCTTGTCTAGTATGCTCATGGACCCTGAGGTCCAGAATTTTCCTTAAATCATGAACTTGCCTGAACGTTAAGAATGAAGATTAAACTGCTGAAATACTAGTCTGTCCTTTCCCAGGTCCTATCCCTAAGGTGTGGGGAGCATCCCCCTTTGGCCTCAGTAGGGGCCCCAGTGCGAGAGCAGTCCTGAGCTAGCTAGCCTGCGTGCTCTTGGCTAGAAGATGTGGCATCGGAGTTTTCTAGTCCTGACAGAGTAGGAAATTCAAAGAATTTGCCAATTACTTTTTTCTTTTAATGATCAGATTCAAATAAGGGATATTTTTAAAAATATACATGACAAAGCTTTCCGGCCCTGTCTTCACACAGCTTAGATGGTACCTTTCCCTGCCTCCTAATTACCATGAAACACCAAGTCTAAACTGCTTTTCCTCTGCCGGCACGCCCCTGGCTTTTCTCTTCTTGGAGTGTCGGGATGACCGATTGATTGGTCAGATGTATTCATCTTTAAACAAGTCCCGGGTGCACACAGACTGCAGTGTGGAGTTAGGTCCATAGCTTTGGATTTCTTGTTCGGGGTTCTCTTTTAGGTGACTGTTTTCCACAATAACATATTTTTGCTCCTAAAGCACCGACAGGTTTTGCTTGAAATCTTTTCCAAAAATTACCGGGTACGCCGGAACATGATCCAGTCACGGCTGACTCAAGAGTGCGGAGAGGATCTGAGTAAACAGGAGGTGGATAAAGTGCTAAAGGTACACCTGCTTTGTGTTGTCAGGCTCCTCCCCGTGTCAGGTAGAGGGCCACAATGTGTTTCTTAAATCCGGCCCCCTCCCCAGCCAGGGGGTCTCCACCTGATGATGGTGGGTGCGGGCAGAAGGGCTGAACTGAGGTGTGGACGCCACCTTCAAAAAATAGTCTGGTGCGTCATCCCTTGAGGTGACCGGGCCTGAGAGTCCCGGCTCCCCTCCCCTTTTGAATCTTATACCGCTTGATTTCAGTAGAATCAATTTTTAAGTTAAATTTAGTTTAAAAAGGAGTATTTGTCTAGTATATGAAAGTACCTAAGTATCCTACTTATAATGCTTTTATGAATCACCTGTGGTACAGAACACCGTATTTGCAAAAACTCTGAAACACGGAAAGCTGCTGACCGTTTCCTCGCATCGTGATGACCTCAGACATCCGAGGCCATAACCTGGTGCCATTTATGAGGCACCTTTGTTCTGGGTCCACTTACGGACAGTTTTATTTTTATTTATTTTTATTTTTTATTTTTTTTAATTAATTAATTAATTTATTTATTTGCGAGAGAGAGAATGAGATAGAGCGTGAGAGGGAGGAGGGTCAGAGGGAGAAGCAGGCTCCTCGCTGAGCAGGGAGCCCGATGCGGGACTCGATCCCGGGACTCCAGGATCATGACCTGAGCCGAAGGCAGTCGCTTAACCGACTGAGCCACCCAGGCGCCCCCAGTTTTATTTTTAATCTTGTGCTTACAAAGCACATTCATTTCTGGTTCCTCATTTTTCAGACCCCCTGAGAGGAAGAGCTCCTGAGGCCCAAACAAACATCGCTACCGCAGCACTGTGATAGGGCAGATCTTGGTTTCCCGTTTGGGCTCTATCCGGGTCGTGGCGTTCCGTACAGGACGCATAGAGTCTGCCCTTAACACGCTCCTCTCTCCCCCCAGGACTGCTGTGTAAGCTATGGTGGCATGTGGTACCTTAAAGGGACGGTGCAGTCTTGACAGTAGTCACAGACCACTAACCCAGTGAATCCAAGCCCAAGGAAGGACGGCGGAGCCGGCAGACGTGGCAGTGGTCTCGCTGCTTCGGAAGACCCGGAGCAAGAGGAACTGACCGTGCCACGGCGGGGGCGGGGTGCTGTCTGGCGGCCAGCGGGGATCTTCCTCAGCCAGGGGCAGGGTCAGCTGAAGTTCGATCGCTCCCAGGACGGAGGGCAGCCGGGACCTTCATTACAGTATAATTTGAAATTCCTGATGTATTTTGCTTATTATTTGGTTCATTCTCGTAATAAAGAGAGTGTATACTGACCACAGGCAGGCTGATGAAAATCATGGTTTAATATTTTGCTTTTCAAACTTAATGCCAACAAGGTCTAAGTTATGTTTACAAGATGAAGAAAACCTCAAGGTTTTAAATATTTAAAATGCCTAGAAGTCAGTATTTAGTCCTCAATTACCTACCTGCTAAGACTTCTGCCAATTTCATTAAACAGACCAAATCGAATTGTTTCACTGCTGGGTTTCTGTGGCCACCTTACCTTTTAAGTCCATTTTATGTAGCAGTTTCAGCTGTTTACATGAACCCTAGCAAAAAATCAGAATCAAATCCATTTATTAACGTTTGCATAAGGGTGCAAACCAAACCAGGTAAGTATGGAACAATGTATAAGTGAGGTTATCACACTTTGATGTAAAAAATTTATATTTTGTGTATTTTTAAAATAAATACTAACACTAACCTGGCATCATGGTGCTACTGTCTTCTAAGGGCTCCAGGAAGGCAGTGTTGTGTGTGCTCTCAGCCTCGCATGTCATCAGGGAAGGGAGCCACCGGACGGAAGGAGAACTTAGCGCTGCCTGGCAGAACGGTGCAGTCATCTGTGTCGTTTATTGAGATTGTAAAAAGAAACTGGTAAAAGTATTTTTTATTTAGCCTAATATAATAGCTAAAACAACAACGTATAATAAAAAAATGTTAGTATAAAAAAATGTAAAATACTCAGTTTTCAAGATCTGGTACTTTATACTTAGGACACTTGCAATTTGGACCAGCCACAGTGTAAGCGCTCATTTGGGACATGTAGCTAATGGCGACCTTGGTGGATCGTGCAGCCCTAGAGGATTAGGGAAAAAAAAAATTAGAGTAAGTTGGGGTGGGCAAGATGTGAAATTCTGCTCCCTCAGGCGTTTTCCACGATCTGGTTTGGGCACTTAGAGCCACTGTCTGAAGGTTTAGGTGAGGGCGTGTGCATGCCCCACCACCAAAAAGAAAAACATCTAATATTTGGTAATCTAGTTCAACAGGATGGTGGTATATTATGTTCTTGGTACTAATTGTTAACAAACATGAGCCTGAAAAGAGTAAAAAAATTTCTGAAGTTGATTGAGAGTTTGTTCAGCTCTTGTATGAGCCCCTTATAAAGGGGAGACTCGTCATGGTGTGAAGCTGAGATGGAGAGTGACCACAGGGAATTATGGGGCTCGTGGGGAGTCATAACCTGAAACACACTGATAAGGACGGAGGAGTTAAACGCTAAATTCAAATAGTAAAGTAAATAAACGTAAGGAATATAGGAAAGAGTTGTTAAAAACAAGGTGTAAAAATTAATGTAAGGTATACCAACCGATGAAGGAAAATGACATAAGCCTTAAAACTGGTTGGAAAGAAAATTACAACAGACCAGTTATTAGAGAAGAAAAGGTCCAGGTATTTTCATGGTTGAACTATGATCACATCTTTATGACAAATGCAAGGGTTAAACTTCAGCATGTAATGAGCCTCCAAATAGCTTCTGAAGTATTGATTTAAAACCTGACAAAGCATGACAGGAATTAAAATCCTTAGTAGTAGACTGCAGTAGCATGTTAAAAAAATAACCACCCTAAGATGTCTTGCAAAGGGTGAGGATATTGGGAATAACTTACTGTCACAGAAATGCAGGGGTGGTGAGGCGCCTGGGTGGCTCAGTCGTTAAAAAGCGTCTGCCTTCAGCTCAGGTCATGGTCCCGGGGTCCTGGGATCAAGCCCCGCATCAGGCTCCCTGCTTGGCGGGGAGTCTGCTTCTCCCTCTCCCACTCCCCCTGCTGGTGTTCCCTCGCTCACTGTGTCTCTCTTTGTCAAATAAAATCTTTAAAAAAAAAAAAAAAGAAATGCACGGGTGGTGTCAGGGCATGTCTACAATGCAGCTCATACCAAGAATAAGCTAAATGAGAAGGGGGAAAAATCATCTCTGGGATTGAGATCTACAATTCATTTCAGATATAAGTTCTTAAAATAGGAGTAGGTGGATTCTCATTAACCTCATTAAAATGGTAAAAAGTTAACCTGCTAAATCAAACACTTCACATACTCCTTAGGATTGAGATATATGTTTACTCACCATAGTTAATATCCTGGGTATACTACTTAGAGCAATTAGGCAAAGGATTAAGTTAAAATTAAACATTTAGACAAATTAATTTTGTCTAACAAAACAGACAAAAAGTCAAAACTTTCAGGTTGCCTGGCTGGTTTGGTGGAGCATGTGACTCAATCTCGGGTTTTGAGTTCAAGCCCCATGTTGGGTATGGAGATTACTTAAAAACAAAACTTTTTTTTCAGCTATGTCAACAGAATCAACTAAAAGCTACTCCGAAAAACATTCAACAAAATAACTGGAGTCAGTAGCTTTCCTATATGCAACTACAGTTAGAAAATATAACAGAGGTGGGGTGGCCTGGCTGGCTCAGTTGGAAGAGCATTCAACTCTTGATCTTCGAGTCATAAGTTCAAGCCCCACAGTGGGTATAGAGACCTGGGTGGCTCAGTTGGTTAAGCGTCTGCCTTCTGCTCAGGTCACAATCCCAGGGTCCTGGGGTGGAACCCCGAGTTGGGGGGGGGTCCTTGCTCAGCAGGGAGTCTGCTTCTCCCTCTCCCTCTGCCCCTCCCCTGCTTGTGTGTGCACTCTCAAAATCTTAAAAATGATAACACATACATATACAGATTATATATATATATATGTGTGTGTATATGTATGTTTTAACAGAAGGAAAGAATACTCAGGAGGTGAACCTTCTAAAATCTATAGGACTTAAGTGATAAAAATTTGAAAACCGAGACACAAAGACCACTGGAACAAATGGGAAGGCATAAACCCATGTTTTTGGATTGAAGTCTTTGTGTTATAGTCTGTACTTGGTTAAATTAAATTTTTAAACTTAATCCCAATAACCATTTACCTCCAAGAACCAGACAAGCTAACTTTAAAGTTCATATAGGAAAAAACGGGGGGAAAAAAAAAGCCAGGGAAATTCTGAAGGAGCAATGAGGGCAATAGTGTCTTAACAGGAAAATATCAAGCTATAACAGCAATTAAAAACTGCCATAGATGCATAAAAACTAAATCCTAGAACAGAAACAGGTTCAAATTCATGTGGAAATTTAGAACTGATTCAGGTGATTTCAAGTGATGAGGAATAGGTGAAGTTGAGGAAGATTCTGGAAAGATGGTGGAATGAGAAGCACCAGAAATCTCTCCTGACCTCGACACCAATTGCACAGGCAGAATTTGTCTAACGCAACCATTTTAGAACTCCAGATCCTGTAACTTCCAGGGAGAGCCAGGACTGTCCCTTGCTGGCAGTTTGGGCCCACTCTGGCCCCTAGCACAGTAGCAAGTACCCCACCACTAGCCATATTCGTGGAGCAGCTTGCAACAGCTTGCAGGAACCTGGGTGGGCAAAAAGACTCTTGAAAGATCAGAGATCTGTTCTGATTGCTGCCACTGGCCACAGGTGCAGGGGCGGGAAGCCAGTGTCACGCCTCCCCCCACTGTTGCAAGTTTCTCCAGCTGAGGCTGAAGGGACTGCCAGGGGATTTAAAAGACTGCCATGCTCCCCTCCCCACCCCATTCATTCTTCACTTTTTGCCCTTTGGGGAGACATTAAAAACTAGGATATTTTTAAAAATTGATCGCATATACAGAGAAAACTAGAAAGCGACTATGCATGCCCAGGGAAAGGCTCAGAAAAGACCTGAGAAGACCTTAGGTTTACACCTCAGGCTAATCCTCAGCACAGACACAGCCTGCAACAATTTAAGGAACAAAAACAACCAATAAAACCAGCACAACTTGGAAAAGGGTGAGAATCTGACTCCCAGAGTTACCACATTATCAGATTCAAATGCCTGCTGTTGAAAAAAATCACAAGGCATACAAAACCAGGAAAATATGGGGCACTCAAAGGAAAAAAACAGAAACTGTCCCTGAAAGGCCTAGCGGCAGATATAGTAGACAAAGACCTTAAGACAGTGTGTTTTAAAGACCTCAAAAGAACAAGAGGATGTAGAGACAGTCAAGAAAATGTGTGAACAAAATGGAAATGATAGAACTAAAGAGAAAACCACAGTAATTCTGGGACTGAAAAGCACAGTAATGGAAATGAAAAATTCACTAGAGGGATTCAAAGGCAGATTTGAGCAAGTAGAAGAAAGAATCAGCAAACTTGAAGATAAGATGATAGAAATTACTCCCATCTGATGGGGCGCCTGGGTGGCTCAGTCGGTTAAGCATCTGCCTTTGGCCCAGGTCATGATCCCAGGGTCCTGGGATCGAGCCCCACGTCGGGCTCCCTGCTCGGCGGGAAGCCTGCTTCTCCCTTTCCCACTCCCCCTGCTTGTGTTCCCTCTCTCGCTGTGTCTCTCTCTGTCAAATAAATAAAATCTTAAAAAAAAAAAAAAATTTACTGCATCTGAGAAACAAAAACTGTGAAGTGAGCAGAACCTAAGGAACCTGTGTGACACCACTAAAAAGACCAATATATACATTGAGGGAGTCCAGAAGGAGAGAGAAAGGAGCAGAGAATATATGAAGAAATAATGGCTGAAGACTTCCCAAACTTGATGAAAAGGCATGAAGATAAACATTCAAGCAGCTCAACAAACTCCAAGAAAAACTCAGACCCACTGAGACACATTATAATCAAGCTTTCAAAAGCCAAAGGGAATTCTGAAAAGCCACAGAAAAGCAAATCCTCACACACAGGCGGATCCTCAATAAGATGATCAAAAGACTTCTCGTTAGAAACTCTGGAGGCCACAACACAGTGGGCTGATAGATACAAAGTGTTTCAAAAACAATAATAAAAACTGTCAACCAAGAACCCTATATCCAGTAAAATTGTCCTTCGAAAGTGAGGGAGAGGGGCACCTGGATGGCTCAGTCGTTAGGCATCTACCTTCGGCTCAGGTCATGATCCCAGGGTCCTGGGATCGAGCCCTGCATTGGGCTCCCTGCTCTGAAGGGAGTCTGCTTCTCCCTCTGACCCTCCTCCCTCTCATGCTGTCTTTCATTCTCTCTCTCTCAAATAAATAAATAAAATCTTAAAAAATAAAATATCAGTATTACTCAAAGTAATACTGGGTAGCTCAGTCAGTTAAGCGTCTGCCTTCGGCTCAGGTCATGATCTCAGGGTCCTGGGATCGAGTCCCGCATTGGGCTCCTTGCTCAGCCTGCCACTCTCCCTGCTTGTGCATGCCCTCTGACAAATGAATAAAATCTTGAAAAAAAAAAAAAAAACATTAAAAACAATTACCATATGACCCAGCAATTCCACTTCTGAGTATATGTTCAAAAGAATTGAAAGCAGGACCTCAAAGACATACTTGTACACACATGTTCATACCAGCATTAGTCACAATAGCTAAAACATGTAAACAACCCAAGTGTCCACTGATGGGTGGATAAACAAAATGTGGCATATACAT